CTCTCACACACTCACTCTCACACACTCACTCTCACACACTCACTCTCACACACTCACTCACTCACTCACACTCACTCTCACACACACACTTTATCTCACTCACTCTCACACACTCACTCTCACTCTCACACACACACTTTATCTCACTCACTCTCACACACTCTCACACACTCACTCTCACACACTCACTCTCACACACTCACTCTCACTCACACACTCTCACTCTCGCACACTCACTCTCACACACTCTCACTCACACACTCTCACACTCTCACACTCACTCACTCACTCACTCACTCACTCACTCACTCACTCACTCACTCACTCACTCACTCACTCACTCACTCACTCACTCTCACTCACACACTCTCACTCACTCACACTCTCACTCTCGCACACTCACTCTCGCACACTCTGTCACTCACTCACTCACTCACTCACTCACTCACTCACTCACTCACTCACTCACTCACTCACTCACTCACTCACTCACTCACTCACTCACACTCACTCTCACACACACACTTTATCTCACTCACTGTCACACACTCACTCTCACACACACACTTTATCTCACTCACTCTCACACACTCACTCTCACTCACACTCTCACTCACACACTCTCACTCACACACTCACACACTCACTCTCACACACTCACTCACACACACTCACTCTCACACACTCACTCACACTCACACACACACTTTATCTCACTCACACACACACTCACTCTCACACACTCACTCACTCACACTCACTCTCACACACTCACTCTCACACTCTCACTCTCACACTCTCACTCTCACACTCTCACTCTCACACTCTCACTCTCACACACTCACTCACTCACTCACACACTCACTCACTCACTCACTCACTCACTCTCACTCACACTCACTCACTCTCTCACTCTCTCTCCCACTCACTCACTCACTCACTCACTCACACTCTCACTCACTCACACTCTCACTCACTCTCACTCACTCTCACTCACTCTCACTCACTCACTCTCACTCACTCACTCTCACTCACTCACACTCTCACTCACTCACACACTCTCACTCACACACTCTCACTCACACACTCTCACTCTCACTCACTCACACTCTCTCTCACACACTCACTCACTCACTCTCACTCTCACACTCTCACACACTCACTCTCTCACTCTCACTCACTCACACACTTTATCTCACTCACTCTCACACACTCACTCTCACACACTCACTCTCACACACTCACTCTCACACACTCACTCACTCACTCACACTCACTCTCACACACACACTTTATCTCACTCACTCTCACACACTCACTCTCACTCTCACACACACACTTTATCTCACTCACTCTCACACACTCTCACACACTCACTCTCACACACTCACTCTCACACACTCACTCTCACTCACACACTCTCACTCTCGCACACTCACTCTCACACACTCTCACTCACACACTCTCACACTCTCACACTCACTCACTCACTCACTCACTCACTCACTCACTCACTCACTCACTCACTCACTCACTCACTCACTCACTCACTCACTCACTCTCACTCACACACTCTCACTCACTCACTCACTCACTCACTCACTCACTCACTCACTCACTCACACTCACTCTCACACACACACTTTATCTCACTCACTGTCACACACTCACTCTCACACACACACTTTATCTCACTCACTCTCACACACTCACTCTCACTCACACTCTCACTCACACACTCTCACTCACACACTCACACACTCACTCTCACACACTCACTCACACACACTCACTCTCACACACTCACTCACACTCACACACACACTTTATCTCACTCACTCTCACACACTCACTCTCACACACTCACTCACTCACACTCACTCTCACACACTCACTCTCACACTCTCACTCTCACACTCTCACTCTCACACTCTCACTCTCACACTCTCACTCTCACACACTCACTCACTCACTCACACACTCACTCACTCACTCACTCACTCACTCACTCACTCTCACTCACACTCACTCACTCTCTCACTCTCTCTCCCACTCACTCACTCACTCACTCACTCACTCACTCACTCACTCACTCACTCACTCACTCACTCTCACTCACTCTCACTCACTCTCACTCACTCACTCACTCTCACTCTCTCACTCTCTGTCTCTCACTCACTCACTCACTCTCTCACTCTCTCACTCACTCACTCACTCACTCACTCACTCACTCACTCACTCACTCACTCACTCACTCACTCACTCACTCACTCTGTCTCTCACTCACTCTCACACTCACTCACTCACTCACTCTCACACACTCACACACTCACTCACTCACTCACTCACTCACTCACACACTCACACACTCACTCACTCACTCACTCACTCACACTCACACACTCTCTCACTCACACACTCACTCTCATTTTGACTCTCTCACTCACTCACTCTCTCTCTCTCAGTCTCTCACTCACTCTCACACTCACTCACTCACTCTCTCACTCACTCTCACTCACACACTCACTCACTCACTCACTCACTCACTCACTCACTCACTCACTCACTCACTCACTCACTCACTCACTCACTCACTCACACACTCACTCACTCACTCACTCACTCACTCACACACTCTCTCACTCACTCACTCACTCACTCACTCACTCACTCACTCACTCACTCACTCACTCACTCACTCTCACACTCTCACACTCACTCACACTCACTCACTCTCACACACTCACACACTCACTCTAAACACACTCACACACCCACTCACTCACTCACTCACTCACTCACTCACTCACTCACTCACTCACTCACTCACTCTCTCACTCTCACACACTCACTCACTCACTCACTCACTCACTCACTCACTCACTCACTCACTCTCACACTCACTCACTCACTCACACTCACTCACTCACTCTCACTCACACACTCTCTCTCACTCACACACTCACTCTCACACACACACTCACTCACTCACTCACTCACTCACTCACTCACTCACTCTCATTTTGACTCTCTCACTCACTCACTCACTCTCTCTCTCTCAGTCTCTCACTCACTCTCACACTCACTCACTCACTCTCTCACTCACTCACTCACACACTCACTCACTCACTCACTCACACACTCACACACTCACTCACTCACTCACTCACACACTCTCTCTCTCACTCACTCACTCACTCACTCACTCACTCACTCACTCACTCACTCACACACTCACACACTCACACACTCACTCACTCACACACTCTCTCTCTCACTCACTCACTCACTCACTCTCACACTCACTCACTCACTCACTCACACTCACTCACTCACTCACTCACTCTCACTCACACACTCTCTCTCACTCACACACTCACTCTCACACACTCACTCACTCACTCACTCACTCACTCTCATTTTGACTCTCTCACTCACTCACTCTCTCTCTCTCTCAGTCTCTCACTCACTCTCACACTCACTCACTCACTCTCACTCACTCTCACTCACTCTCACTCACTCACTCACTCACTCACTCACTCACTCACTCACTCACTCACTCACTCACTCACTCACTCACTCACTCACTCACACACTCTCTCACTCACTCACTCACTCACTCACTCACTCACTCACTCACTCACACACTCAAAACACCCACACACTCACTCACTCACTCACTCACTCACTCACTCACTCACTCACTCTCTCACTCTCTCACTCACTCACTCACTCACTCACTCACTCACTCTCACACTCGCTCACTCACTCACACTCACTCACTCTCACTCACACACTCTCTCTCACTCACACACTCACTCATTCACTCACTCACTCACTCACTCACTCACTCACTCACTCTTACACACACACTCACTCACTCACTCACACTCACATACAGACACTCTTACACTCACTCACTCACTCACTCACTCACTCAAAAGACCCACACACTCACTCACTCACTCACTCACTCACTCACTCACTCACTCACTCACTCTCTCACTCTCTCACTCTCTCACACTCACACACTCACACACTCACTCACTCACTCACTCACTCACTCACTCACTCACTCACTCTCACACTCGCTCACTCACTCACTCACTCACTCACTCACACACTCACTCATTCACTCACTCACTCACTCACTCACTCACTCACTCACTCACTCACTCACTCACTCACTCACTCACTCTTACACACACACACTCACTCACTCACACTCACATACAGACACTCTTACACTCACTCACTCACTCACTCACTCACTCACTCACACACTCACTCACTCACTCACTCACTCTCACACACTCACTCACTCACTCACTCACACACTCTCTCACTCACTCACTCTCTCTCTCACTCACTCTCTCTCTCACTCACTCACTCTCACATTCACTCACTCACTCACTCACTCACTCACACACTCACTCACACACTCACTCACTCTCACTCACACACTCACTCACTCTCTCACTCACTCACACACTCACACACTCACACACACACTCACTCACTCACTCACTCACTCACTCACTCACTCACTCACTCACTCACTCACTCTCACATTCACTCACTCACTCACTCACTCACACACTCACACACTCACTCTCACATTCACTCACTCACTCACTCTCACATTCACTCACTCACTCACTCACTCACACACTCACACTCACTCACTCTCACTCACTCTCACTCACACACTCACTCACTCACTCACTCACTCACTCACTCACTCTCACACACTCACACACTCACTCACTCACTCACTCACTCACTCACTCACTCACTCTCACACTCTCACACTCTCACACTCTCACACTCTCTCACTCTCTCACTCACTCACTCACTCACTCACTCACTCACTCACTCACTCACTCACTCACTCACTCACACACTCTCATTTTGACTCTCACACTCACTCACTCACACACTCTCTCTCTCTCTCTCTCTCTCTCTCACACACACACACACACAGGTGAGAGTGTTTGCACCTGCATGACGATGAGGAGGTCGAACACCAGGATGAAGGAGGCGAGGAAGGCTCGGGACACCTCGTCACTGGGCAGGAACCCCCGGTTCAGGTTATCCCAGCGGATCCAGTCCGTACTGATGACCAGAAGCACCACAGACGTCAGAGAGATCAGAACCGCCCTGAGGAACACCAGCAGCGCGTCAGCAGAGCTCACAGAGGCACGAGTGCAGGAGCCAGCGAGTCAGTCAAAAGCAGCGAGTGTTTTATAAACTAACATTAATGACACGGACGGCCAGTTAATGAGGCTGCTGTCCCTTTAAGAATGAATGCATGGATCTAATACACTGTTACACATCCGCTTTCCTCCCATTCGTTTTCGTTCGCGTAGATTATAACAGTCAATAACCTAAAGTAATTTTAAGTAGTGCTGCGAAGCTAAAGAGTGTAACACTTTTGAAATTTGTGAGATTTTTTAAATTTGTGAATCAATAGAAATCGGTAGAAGATAGAATCGCGATTCATTTATAAACCGATTCCGATAAATGGATCGGGAGATCTCTGAACCGTTGTGCGACCTTACGGACATTTTTGTCTTTTTCAGTTTTATCTTTTAATCATGTTGCCTGTGTTAATCCCAACTGTATATACTTTGGCACAGGTGTGTATTTTTACTGTAATTTTATTATTTCACCCCCATTTCCTTTAATAAATCTATTTTACGCCAGTAACACACAATAGTTCCTCTCAGGACCTTTAGGACAAAAATGTCCCCATTGAAACGGCAATGTTTAATCCCAGGGCTATTTAACTATAAAATGATGCAATCTTTGTTAATAGGCTTTTGTTCTGCTGGCAAGGCTTCCAATTTTTATGTTTTTTTACCAGATGTGCCATTTTCTCAGGTTTGGCCTATAAAGCAAATAGTCGCTTTATTCCTGTTTTCTGCTTATGGATATTATAAAACCAATTGGATAAATTATGCAGCGATAATTGTGTTGGTATGGATGTCAAAGTGTGTGGTTTGTATGTGTGTAATAAATAAATGAGTGTGTGTGCACTTGTAATATTTATGAGAGAGAAATCACTAAAGGCTCATTTTATGAAATATCAACCTCACATTTGGAACACGACTTGTTTAGATTTATGGCTTTGATGTTTTAGCAGTTTTAGAGTTCAATATGTTTCATAAATTAATTTTTTTTATTTTTGGTTTTACTTTTTAAAACTTTTTTTTCTTCAACAACAATAATCTGCAAGGGTCTTCTTTAAAATGAGATCAAACTTAAATCTGTGCTCACAAGCTTCAATTTTTATGACAGATTTTTGTCCACTATGGACCTTTGTGTAACTTTTTTTAATGGATGCGCAAGGGTTAAACGCACGGTTTCTCAGCAGAGTCTGTCGTGAGCGGTGTGTGTGAAATGAAGTCTGCCGCTTCACTAATGGATGGAGACGGAGTCCATTAATAAGAGACGTGCAGAGCCAGAATGAAATGTATGGTATAATGCACTTCTGATGGGACCTCTGAATAATACAGACACCAGATCAGTTCTTCATGTCACTGATGAACACATTCATCAGCCAGTGAAAGAGCAGAACTGATCTAGGGTCAGTGCTGGACGTGCAGTACACTAACAGAGCGACGCACAGCTGATAAACACTGATATTGACGCTTCAGATAAAAATGTGCCGCGAAAAACAGCCGAAAGTTCCTTTGATGATGTCACTAGGTACGTAAACCAGACTTCTTAACGAGTTTTTAATTAGTCTTCGTGCAGCGGGAGATTTCTCCACACGCTTTTATCTTGTTTATACTTCAAATATATCTGTCTCGTTTTATAAAGTAAGAAACGTGTTAAACATCTTTAATAGTATTTATTTCTTATTGTAAATGATCCACCATTGCATGATATTCTAAATAATGTTTTTTTCACATCTTAAATTAATCTAATTAATTATTTTAAAAAAAAATCGCAATAGGCACTAAACACTAAATTTAGTTTTTATTACAAATAATTAAACATTTTATTAATAATAAGCACATTAATAATGTAAGACAAAATACACACCTATTAAAAAAACTATTCTCCAGTTTTTTATCTTTAATGTATTTTTTTTATTTTTACTGAAAAAAAAGTAGATATAAATGTTTTAAGAACAGGAGAATATAATAGATGAATGAAATATTCCTTTAATGAATCAGCTGACGTGAAGGTCAGAGGTCATGATGTCAGGCGTTTAAGGGTTCAGGGTCAAAGCGTGTTTCGGGGTCTCGTTACCGTGGCGAACAGCGGCACTGATCGATTTCCTGCCGCGCGTCTCTTTAATTAAACATGCTGATGATGAGAACAGGGATTAAAGTGCCGTTATTAACACACATTTACACTCACACACTCACTCACACTCACTCACACTCACTCGCTCGCACTCACTCACTCGCTCGCTCGCTCGCTCACCTCACTCACTCACTCACTCACTCACTCACTCACTCACACACTCACTCACTCACTCACTCACTCACTCACTCACCTCACTCACCTCACTCACACACTCACTCACTCACTCACTCACTCACTCACCTCACTCACACACTCACTCACTCACTCACTCACTCACTCACTCACTCACTCACTCACTCACTCACTCACTCACTCACTCACACACTCACACACTCACTCGCTCACTCGCTCGCTCACTCACTCACTCACTCACTCACTCACCTCACTCACCTCACTCACACACTCACACACTCACACACTCACTCACTCACTCACTCACTCACTCACTCACTCACTCACTCACTCACACACTCACTCACTCACACACTCGCTCACTCGCTCACTCGCTCACCTCACTCACCTCACTCACCTCACTCACCTCACTCACACACTCACACACTCACACACTCACACACTCACACACTCACTCACTCACTCACTCACTCACTCGCTCACTCGCTCGCTCACTCACTCACTCACTCACCTCACTCACCTCACTCACCTCACTCACACACTCACACACTCACACACTCACACACTCACACACTCACACACTCACTCACTCACTCACTCACTCACTCACTCACTCACTCACTCACTCACTCACTCACTCACTCACTCACTCACTCACTCACTCACACACTCACTCACACACTCACTCACTCACTCACACACTCACTAACTCACACAATTTAATTGTATGACAAATTAAATATTTTATTAATATTAAAATAAGTATTAAATTATTAGATGATATTAATATAATATGAATGTGAATTAGTGGCACTGCATAAAAAATACATTTTTAATGCGTCTTTTTCAGTGTGTGTCTGCACTGCACTCTTCCCTCGTGTTTTTAACCTCTTCATATCTGTCTATACTTTAGAATAAATTACAATTGACTAGCGCAGAGTCCCTGTCCACACAATAAACCCTATCATATTTCAGCATGAATAAAAACATGATTTAGTCACTTTGTCAATATCATTTCCTTTGGGACGTCACACACAACCTCACAGGAAGCCCATTAAAGCAACGTTCCTGTTCAACACGGCTTCAGCTGACAGTGTGTGTGACGCGCAGTCAATTACCACAGAAATCATCTCGCTTTATGCAAACAAGCAGAAATCATGTTTACATTCATGCACTTACGACGGACGTCTGCGAGACGAGGCTTTAAAAGCAGAAATGTGCGTCTAGCATTAATTATTCAGTACAATCTCGAGCTGTACGGCGTCTAAATCCTGCGTTTATGAGTGTGGGACTGCTGAACCAGATTCAGTTCTGTTTAACCAGAGGTGCAGTGTGAACACACACACACCAGTGTCAGTGTGAACACACACACCAGAACAACACGATCCGGTTGTGACCCTGCCTCCAGTAGTGCCTCGCGGTCCGGCCCCAGTACGGGTAATGAGAGTCCTGCAGCATCATGTCTGTCACCTGGGAAACAAACACACACACAAACACACACTCCTTATTTACTGCGTCAGTGACAGGGTTATTATCGTCAACTAAATCTAAAACCATAAAACAAAACGTGTTACGTGAAATATATTTTCTAATTAACATTAGCTGAAATAAAAAATAATAATATTTGAAAAATAATAATAATAATAATAACAAAAACACAACTAAAATTACTAAAACTTAAACTAAAATTAAAGTGAAAAAAAAATGAAAATAATAGTATAAAAAACTATAATAGTATATAAATTATACTAAAACAGTAAAAACTAACTAACTAAGTAACTAAGTAAGAAACTGAGTAACTAACTAACTAAGTAACTAAGTAACTAAGTAAGTAACTAAGTAACTAACTAACTAAGTAACTAACTAACTAACTAAGTAACTAAGTAACTACTAACTAAGTAACTAAGTAACTAACTAAGTAACTAAGTAACTAACTAAGTAACTAACTAACTAACTAAGTAACTAAGTTAATAACTAAGTTACTAAGTAACTAACTAACTAACTAACTAACTAACTAACTAAGTAACTAAGTAACTACTAACTAACTAACTAACTAACTAACTACTAACTAAGTAACTAACTAACTAACTAACTAAGTAACCAAGTAACTAACTAACTAAGTAACTAAGTAACTAACTAAGTAACTAAGTAACCAAGTAACTAACTAACTAACTAACTAAGTAACTAAGTAACTAACTAAGTAACTAACTAAGTAACTAAGTAACTAACTAAGTAACTAACTAACTAACTAACTAACTAAAAGCTATTCCATTTCCAAAATATCTTCATGTAATAAAGTTCAGAAGCATATCCGTTTTAACTTTATTTAGTATATTATTAATTTCCTAATACATTTCTTAGTCGGTGCATGCTATTGTAGGAAAATGTAATTTTTGTTTACAGTTAAAAATTACTTATTTTAAAATAAATCAAATCATTATTTTAGTATTATTGCGACTACTATAATCATTTTATTACTATTTTGAATTAGCTTTTATTTTTATATTTTCCATTTTCAGTTTAACTTTAGTAATTTTGTTGTATTTTCGTTTTCTTTTAATGTCTATAGAGTTTAAATTTTTTATTTCAGTTTTAGTTTTAGTTATTTTAATTGGTTATATTTATTTTAGTACACTCGAATGAAAAGAGAAGTGTTGCCTTGGCAACTAGTTGAAATAAAAAAAAAAAAATTATTGAAATATTTTTTTTTCATTGCAGGAAACTTTTATTTTAAGTAAGGATTTTTTTATGGTTTTAGTTTCAGTTTACATTAACTAGTAAAAAATTGCATATTAAATATTTGTAAATCTTTTTTTATTTCAATAGTCGTTTACCACTACAATTAGTTTTGATTATGACAAATTAGGATAATAAAATAAATGATAAAATAAAAGTATCTAAAATAAATAAATCTAGATTAGTGCAGTTAAATCGATTTATCGTGATTAATTGCATCAAAATAAAAGTTTGTGTTTATATAATATTTGTCTGTACATACACTCTAAAAAAATGCTGGGTTGTTTTAACTCAATTTTGGGTCAAATATGGACAAACCCAAACGTTGGATTAAAAATGCAATTTAAAAATGTAACCCAACGGCTGGGTTTGTCCATATTTGACCAAAATTGAGTTAAAACAACCCAGCATTTTTTATATACGGTATGTATGTTTATTATACACTTTACACATTATTTACACACATTATACACACATATTACACACTTTTATGTTATAGCAATTATCTAAATCTATTAAAAAATACTTCTTATATGTAAAATATATTTATATGCATGTCATTATAATACATTTACCTTATGCATATACAAACCTCTAACCTGTGTGGTTTATGCATCATCTGTGTGTGTCAAGTGCACTACAGTTATGCCCTAGTGAGTGTGCGCACTGCGCAGTGAGCCTGTCTAAGGTCAGCTGACGATCCCTTCCTTCAGAAAAGAAAGACTGAAAACTGTGGGGAGGGAAAGAGAAAGTGAAATAAATGTGTAAATCTTTGCTCGCGTCTCAGCCAAGCCGCCGCCTGTGACGAGATGAAGGACTGAATTAATACGCCGCCGGTAATGTCTCGATTCAGCACTTTCAGACGCTCGTTCGCCCTTCGTCTCTCTCTCCTTCGTTTCATCCCTCTCTTTCTCTCCTCCTCTCTTCTCTTTTGTTCATCGCTGCAGTTTGAACACAGGAATACTAATGTCCCGAAAGACACACACACACCACAGCAGATCTGAACTACACCTGCACTCGCGTGTCACTGAGAAAAGCTCTCTGATGCCGGATGTTGTCGGAAAGATGTTTGTTTCCTCCGTGTCCTTGACTGAACTTGGGAAAAACTAGTTTTCATCGCCACGATTGTCAACGTTTATAATAGTGCTTATAGTTTACAAACAGACGGTGTAGAAAAACTGAATTTTGAGTGACAATCAATTTGAGTGACAGCTGTCAGTTTAAACATCACTCTTGCAGTGACATTCTAAATAATTCCACCAAGCGTTTAAAGTCAACATAAGTTATTTAAATATATTAAAACTACCAAAAAAATCACATATCAGGATCTCATTTAAAATTCAAGAATCATTTTTAAAATATGATAAATCAAAATTAATCATATGTATGCACATTTATACAAAACTATGGTAACACTTTTAATAAGGTACACTGTAAAAAATGATGATCAATAAGTAATGACAACATATGTTTTTGCATTGCTTTAAATAGGTTATACAAGAGTCAACTAATTTTTTTAAGTCACTTTAATGTAATTTAAGTTGAACATTACAGTTGATTGTACTTAAAGCAACTTTTTTCTTTGTTAACAGTGATTAATACATTTATTTTTCACATTTAATTAATTAAAATGTTAGTTCATGTCCATTAAATAATATTAATATTTTAATAATTTATTAGTAAATGTTGAAATTAACATTAACTATGATTAATAATTGCTTTAGAAGTAGTTGTTAGTGTATGCTAATGTACTTATTGTGACGCTTCACCACATGTATTGTTCTGTATGTAAAAGTATGTCACTGTTGAAAATAAAGTGTAAACGGGATGCAACATTAATGGCTTCATAAATGAGTGCACATCATTTTAATCATATTTTTCAAGCGTTATTAATTTCCCAGGTTTGCTGTTGCAGGTTTGAGGAGGCGTCACTGCTGTCCCGCTGGGCCGGACTCTCTGTGGTTAATCGCAGGGTCTCTGGGCTAAACGAGGAGTTTGTTGGTTTCGGCGATCTCTAATGTCACAGTCCCTCGGGGACCAGAGTCAATTACCAACTAATAATTACAGAAACATTTGAGTGGCTCGTCAGACGCGGGGAAGGTTCGTCAAGGTCAAGAATTATCATAAAACTATTTCATGCTGCTTTAAAGTCGCCACAGTCAACATGACATCAACATACACCCTTTTTACTTTAATGTCACTGGTGTAACCTGAGAACGAGAACCCCTGATGTTTTAAGTAAATATTTGAATAATTTAACATTTGCATGTTCACAGTTCTCTGATGTGGGTTAATGGTCACATGACATGCAGCTAAACTAATAACATAACACAATTTGTGTTCATAAAATAGTTTTACCTTGATTTTTATCGAGTTTACCTTGATAAAGAAAACATGGTAAAATCACTGAAATGCACACCTATAATTTGCATATTATGATAAAATAAACCAATGACCAATAAAATTACATTTTGAAAATAATTTTCAAATATTTATATAAATTATATATAAATGTATAAATTATTATATTATAGCAGGTAAACAAATAAAATACCACACTTTTCGACTGATATCGTAGATAAAATTGTAGCCTTTTTCATTATTAAAAAAATTATAATGTCACTATAATGCAAAACTGTATTTTGCTTACTGATTTTAATAAATGGTGGCATGTTGAAATACACCAGTGTTCAACGTTTATTTATATATATAAATATATGTGTGTGTGTGTGTTTTAATGGGCATTTTCCTCATTAACACCATTCAAATTTATATATAAATGCTTAAATATATATCATTATTAAAATAAAATAATTACAATTATAACAGGTAAAAAGTTATTTTTTGAGTTTGACTTTTTTTTTTATAATTTTTTTTTTTTTTCCAATGTAATGAATTATTAGCTTTTCACAACCTCGCAAACCTCAGTTTGGGAAACCCTGAACATCTGGCTTTGTAAATCTTTCACCAAAATGCAAAACTTTCTCCATCAAGCTGTTCAACCATTCTCGTACAGAACGGCCACGTTTGACTCCACAAGTCGCTCCCAATCAATTACGAAAGTAAAATGGCGTTTCATGTGGACTTTACACAGGCTGTGTCTCACCATCCACGCGGTCACGAAATCCCCCATCCACGTCCCGACAGCGGCGATCTTCATCAAGCTCTCGTTCCTGATGCCCATGTACTCCGTCACCATGTGAGGACTGTGGAGACACACACACACACACACACACACACGTCAGTCTGATGCTTCTGTCACTGGTGATCAGGTCACAAGGTCTTCTACAAGCGCGCGTATTCGACGTGACATTCGCTGGATAAAGTGTTTTTTATTGATTGATTTTAAAGAATTATAACTACCGTCAGGGGTGTACATTGAGTAAACAAACAAACAAAAAAAGACAAATAAAGAAACAGTGACAAACTTAAAGGTGCAGTGTGTAAGTTTTAGCGCATCTAGTGCTGAGGTTGTGAACTGCACCCAACAAAAGTTACGGTGGCCGACAGGAAGTGATGTCGTCGTCTGAGACAGCAGAGAGTAGCCAGTTTCTTTACAAAGATAAATTAAGAAATTAGGTTAACTTAATTATTCAGTAAAATGATGCTATTGCGAATATTATTGTGACTTGTTCATCATTGTGTCAGTGTTTTATTCGCTGACTTTAGCAGCTTCTTATCATGAAGAACAACATAGTGACGAAACGCGTTTGTCCGCTCAGGGCCACCGTAGAAACATGTCGGTGTAAGCGGACCCGCGGTGTGTGTCGAGAGAAACGCCTCATTCTAAGCTAATAAACACATAACGCTTCATTATGTAAGGGTTTATACACCACTGAAAACATAGTTATGTATATGATATTGCATTTCTGTCACCAGATCCTCCTAAATATTACACACTGCACCTTTAAAAGTTAAACAAAAATGTGAAAATGTTTACAGATTGAAACGCACGTTGCAGCTTCCTTATTTTTCCAACCCAATATTGTGTAGGTATTGTTGAATTTCTGATCTTAAAATTCAAAACAAAGGCTTGTTTCCTCTAAATGTACATTCATGAATACTAAATTTAGCTAACAGAACACATTTTTAAAGCACAGTTGAAAGCTGAGCATGATGAGCCTTAATAAAGGAACAGAAGTCTAACCAAAAACAAACTGAACGAGGACAACTCCATAATAAATGCTCAAATGTTTCTGTATAGTGTTTCAGTAACGCTACAGGACACGTTACCGTCATCACAAACACAAATAAACTTCAGAGGCCTTTATAATGCATTCAGGGAACGAATGGCTTCCAGAAAATGATCCAAAAACACAGCCAGGCGTTCATATGGTGTGACAGCGAGCGAAGTAATCTTCTTTCCGCTGCTTTTATGCCGTCAGAAGTGTTTACAGGCCTTGAACAGGTACACACTCGCTAATCTGCTTACGCACGTCAGTGTGTGGATCCAGGCGGCGGGAACGCTGAACAAGGCAAATCTATTGTGGACAAATGACAAGCGGATTGGGTTTTTGGTCTAATTCTGAAGCGCGTTACGGATAATAACGGCATTATTCTGTAAAGGAGAACATGTTTAACGAGCTTTCCCTCATTAGCACCGCTCATCATCACAGGCCTAGCGAAGCTGAGACGCCATTTACACATCCACAGACTGTGATGACGTGTTTAACGGTCATCGGCATTGTAAATCCTGCAAAGTTATATATATATATATATATATATATATATTATATGTACATTTATAACGCTAGGCTATACTTTGTTACCTTCGCATCAAATTACAAAAAATAAATACAAAATATAGCTGCAAGCAGCAATTAAGGGGGTTCAAGCATTTAAGGCCTTCATGTTAACTATGCTGTCTAGGCCGAACCGAAATGTAGGTCTGAAACCATAAAATATACATTATGGAGATTACGCAAATGATATAAATCTATAGTTCCAGTCTAAATCAGTTTTTCTCCATATCTACACATATACACACAATATATAGACATGTTACTCATAATATAATACAGGCAATTTACCATAGGAAATATATGGTTTTCAAAGCTTTTTAACAGTTATAGCGCCATCTATGGTTCGATTTCAATAAAATTTTGCATGCTTGCTTACTATGTTATATCACATATTCCCACCAATTTTTGCGAAGTTCTGAGTTTTCCTTTAGGATTTATAGGCTTTTGAGTGTATTTTGTCATGCCACTTTTCTAAATGACCCTGTTACGGCCACCCCAAATGCAAAAGTTCAACTTTTTTTAGATAATTATTGATCTAGACTTGAGTCCAGAGAATTGGTTTGGTTCCGATCGGGCGAAAAACCAGGGACTAGTTCGCAAAAGTAGGTTTTGGACAAAATTCGACATAGCAGAAATTCTTGCTGCCTAAATCGAAATTGGAGATATACATTTTGCCCGCCTTGACCCAAGGATTGAGACTTGATTCTAAGTCAAATGGCCTAGGAGTTATGAGCAATTTAGTACTTTTGGTTGCTGTAGCGCCACCTATGGGCCAATCGGGGTCATACTCTGATAGGTTCTCCCCAAATTAAGGCCTACCATCTGGCCAGGTTTCACGCCTCCAGCTCTTACGGTTTGGTCTGCACGATCAGTTTTACAAATCCTTACAATTACACTAGGGTTTCAGCACTTTGTGCTTGAACCTAGGGCTGGGCGATAAAACGATAACGATAATTATCGCGATATAATTTTTCTCGATAAAACGATATCAAGAGGTCGATAAATGTTCGATAATGTGTATGCGCCAAAAGCGGAACGAAACTCATTTGAACCGCGCGCCACACGGACCGTTTATCCGCTCCGCTCAAAGTCCAAACGGCAGCACGAGCTCACTAGAGCAGACGCGTTTACTCTGATCGTCTTGCTCACGAGATCCAGTGAGAAGCGCTTAAGTTCAGCGAAGAACACAAATGTCCACTTTAAATCAGTTTAAAGGCAGATGAAACAGCGCTGACGAACAGGAGAAACACTGCGCAGCGAAACAGTCAGAATCTGAATTGATACTGAATCCATTTAGCCTACCATGGATTTACTGTAAGGTTAGCCTAGTACCTGCACCATGAAATGTGGGATATACATATTGAATTTTATAATATTATTGACAATGTATTAAATGACTAATGGAATATAATTACAGTATAATGTATTTAACTGTTAGGCTACTGTTTTTTATACAAATACCATAGAAACCATAAAGTTACATTTTGCCATGATAGTGAGGTGCTATAGGCTGTACCTGGCTTTATCTGTGGTTATCATGGTCTAAATGCATGATACTGGATGACCAATGGTTAATTTTAATAAAACTCAAACAGTCAGAATATTACATTTTACCAAATAAAAATGTGGTCCTTAAATTAAAAACAAACAAAAAAACAAACAGATGTTACTGTTTTTGTTAATGAACATAAATTTAACATAGTAGTATTAGCTTGAGTCAGGATGTAGATTTACTGTCAAACTCACTGTCAAATATGCATTTCGAGACAAAACATGTAATTTGAATATTGCAGCCTGCACTGCAAACTGTGCTGAAGAAATATTTTTCTTTTCAGATATTTATTTTGTTAAGGAAAAATGACAAATGTTTGAATGTTCTACCTCAGATTTGTAAAACCACAATGCTCTGGTTTATACAACTTTCACTTAGGAGCCTTTAAACTTGAAAGAAATAAAGATTTGACATTTATCGTGATAATTATCGATATCGACTGATATAAAAAAAAATATCGTGATACATTTTTTTGGCCATATCGCCCAGCCCTACTTGAACCCCTAATACAAACGCTGCTGTGAGGTTGTTTATACAACGGCTGACGCTAAAGTTTACATCTTTCTCTCTTCTGACTTCCGCTATCAATCCCTCTCTTTTTTTCCCTCTTCTTGAAAGTTGTGAAAACACTATCGTGGAGTTGTTCTTTTGCTATTTGAGCAAATGGAAAAAATATGTCTCTTATTGACCGCTATAGAAGTTTCCCCAACTGTGACGACTTCCGCTTCTGATAAACCCGGAAATATATACATATATATTTCTCATTTCAGTTAAAGGTTATTTTATTTCAAGTAAGGATTTTTACTATTAATTAAAAATTGCATAATTAATTATTAAATTACAAATTCCGAACCTGGTGATAGATCATCCTGTAAACGAGTCAAGAGCAAGCTTTCATCCCAAGCACGTTCATGGCTCTAATCTACAGCTAATCTGTAAAGCAAACGAGCGCTTGACCCGCTGTCATCACGGCCTCATAATGCGTGAGACTGAATCTGTATTCTGTGCGTTAGACCGCACGTCCACATCACCTTCTCCCGCACACGATAAAGCCGCTTTGATTACAACGAAGATTTATGGGCGCATTAAGTCAGTTAACACACCCTGTGGTTGTGGACCCGGCCCATGGCCTCGAGTCCGCCGGGAGTCGTTCAGCATCGAGCCGATCGATCACACGGGAACCGTCCGACGCCCACGGGTGTGCTGGTGTAGCAGACACACTATAGGTGCGCTTTACAGCATTACATGCAGGGGAAGGGTGTGATATAGCAGTGGCTGAAGCACGCACACACACACAAACACTCTCTCTGATTAGTGTCTCATGTCTTCATTTATTCATTATGGCTGCAGAACTGCTGGGTAACCTGACAAAGTCACATCCAGCACAAATGACACACAATGACAACATTCATAGATATTAAGTATTTTTTGGACATGCACCATAGGATTACAATGTTTGTGAATATTTACAATAGTAATGACATGTTTTTATGAACATTTCCTATGTTAATACCATGTTTTTGGACATGCACCATTGAAATACCACGTCGTTGATATGTTCCACGGTGCTATTTAAACATTTCCTATAATAATACCATGTTTTTCAGAACATTTCCCATGTTAATACCATGTTTTATGACATGTAACAAATCATTTTTGGACATGCACCATTAAAATTCCATGTTTTTTGAACATTGACTATGGTATTACCAAGTTTTTGACATGTTCCATAGTGGTAATATGTTTTTTGAACATTTCCTATGTAAATACCATGTTTTTGGACATGTACTTAGTATTACAATGATTTTTGGATATGTGCAATTGAAATACCACATTCTTTAAACATTTACCATAATAATACCATGTTTTAGGACATGCACCATAGTATTACCATGTTTCTTGGACGTGTAAC